TATATATCATTTCTTAATCTTTATTCTTGGGATGTGATTTATGGACAAATCAGAACATATCGGGATTGAACAATAGCTAATGTTTAAATTTTTTATATTTATTTATCATCTAATTGTTTAAAGTCATATCAAAATAAAATTATTATTTAATTTTTAAAAGCAAAATATAAATTTTCATATATTTGTTTTAATATGATTGTGAATTTTAAGTGTCATATAAATGATAACATTTAAACATATGCACTACATAAATATTATGTAGCATGTTTTCAAATCCCCTAAAGTGCTACTTTGTAAAAAGGATGACTGATATGCCACTAACAAAATCATCTAATTGAATAAAGATCTTTATGTAAGTATTTGATTAGAAGCATCCAAAATAAATTTGGAATTCATTAAACTTCAATTCAGTAAATTTATAATCTAAATTCAAATATTAATGAGATGAATATAATGAGCTTAAGATTGCTCAATTATAATATTATTAAGGCATTAAAATATTTAAAAATATCAAATTATTAAGTAAAATCATTCTAAGCCTTTTGTGTTATGTGTGGAACCAAATTTTTTAGAATTTAAAATATGCTAAAAATCAAAATAAATTCTAGATGCGAACATTCCATAGACCAAAAGCCCAATTATAATAGAGTCCATATCATTCTAAATTATTTAGTGAATTTGAGTAATGTATCTTGATTTATTGAGAATGATTGCTTACTCTTGTATGAATTCTATGACAATTGATCAAGATGGATAACTAATAAGGTGGAGAGGGGTTTATGATCTTCCTCAACTAAATTGCACTTGTTTTTTCTATAAGATTATCATTTCTTTTCTAGCTTGTGAGAATAGAGATCTTGTAAGTGATTTTGTATCTAAGGCATTATAGCCAAGAGTGTCTCTATATGTTATTCACCAAGCAAGTTATCCACTCAATTATTTCATATTAAAATGAGTAATTTAAGATTCAATATTTAATAAAGATAATTATATGTCGCCCAATCTAAATGTGATTCCTTAGCCTAATTTAAATTTGTTTAATATAACAAATCTAATTTTAAATAAACTGTAACTTAATTTTAATTTAGAAAATCTAATGTATAATAATCTTCTACTTGGGCTACATATTATTCTCAAAAGAATTATATCCCATCAATCATTAGGCATGCATCTGTAAGCTATCTATCTTTGAACTTCTATTTAAGCAATAGGTCATATCTCATATATTAGTGATAAAATCACTACAACTTTTGCCTCAGTATAGTCGTGTTTGAACCACGATCATCACCTAAGTAATACACTAAATGATGTAGAATGAAAGTTTATGTAATGCTTATTTTAAATTAATCCTTCATAGTAAGATTTATCCATAATATTTAACATAGTGAAAACATTATACATATAAAATATAAATAGGCTAAGAACTACAATCATAAACTATCAAAATTTATTCTATAGAAAAGTAAGTAATAAAAATATAGAACAAAAAGAAATGACTCTCACTAAACTAAAGTATCATTAGAAATAAAACTCATATGAGCATTATATTTGTGAAATACTTTAGGTTTAATGCACATATTTATGGTACAATTATATAGATTATATTTCTATATATTCCATGGAAATATGCCAATTCTAAACTATCATATTAGCAACTAGAAATTTGATGTTGGCAAACATCGACTTCGTTGTGCTTTATTATAATAAAGCAATGCTAATTTGTCATTATAGTAAAGCTTTAATGGCTTATTAATCCTATCTATCCCACACAATTTAGTCACAAAATTACATAGACATATCCCATAATTGGATGCTTCTTAACAAGTAATGAACTCCTTAGCCACAATTAAAGAAGCTATAAGAGTTAATTGATAATGCTTTTTATCCATTTCAATATAAATTTGGTGATTATATAATTTATTTTTATTAATTTTTATTGAAAAAAAATATATATTCTTGTTTTCTCATAAAATAAATTGTTTTGTTATAAAATTAATGTAATGCAAATTTTTTTATATGCAACACTAATCTTAACCAATTTCAATAACTTTTGTATTGTTTTTCCTCTTGTAAGCAGACCAGTGCTTATAAGTAGGGCTGTTAATGGTCTGATTTCAGGCCGAGTTGGGGCCAATTCAAAATAAGCTAAAAAATAATTAGTTCCAAAATTTGGCTTGTAGCCCGACTCATTCATTTCGATACAATCTCGATTCAAGCCAAAACTAAAATCAATTTTCGAACAATTAACGATCTTCTAGCGCTTGCAAAAGCGCCGCAAAAACTCTTAGCATCATTAAACCACGACAACATATTGATAGTGCTTCAAAATAATTAAGTGTTTAGCGTGCCGAGAAAGACCTTTGTATTATATTGTATATGAATTTAGCTTGAAGATACCAAGATTTGAATTTGCTTACAATGATATGAAAAAAAAATAGGATTATCAGATTTAATTTTTTTTTAATTATTGTATTTATTTGCAACGATGAAATAATAAACTTAGTAATAAATCAATTAAAGTACATTAATTGTATATATTATAATTAGTTTAAAAAATGTACAGCGGTATTAAAATCTCTTATCAGATGGTGCTCGACAAATTTTCAGTGGGAAAATGCACTCGGGTTACATCCAAAATTCAAAGCAGCCGCAGACTATTTAGAAATTCGTGCTCCGCGGTACTTCGTACCGTCTTTTCCGCCTCCACGGCTCTTGTTGAGAATTAAAAACGAAATAAGGATCTCAAACAAAAACGCGCATTTAACATGCGCGATTGCTTCTCTATCAACATTGAAGCCGCGTAAAAGGGGTAAGTTTACCCCCTCATACCATTCAATGCTATATATATATATATATATACATACATACACACACACTATATGTATGTGTGTGTATGTTATGTGATTGAAATTTATAATGGTTGAGTAATAATTTAATATCTTAATATTGTATGAAGGTCCAACAATTACATATATTAAGAAAAAAACTATGAGAGAAGATATCATAATTTTTTTTGTGGAAAAAATCTGAAAACTATGAAACATGATCCGTTCAAAGTAATCCACTAGAAAATTAAAAGTGAAATAATCACTCTTCTACTAAATTGGGGAAGTGAGATTACAGAGGCTAATGCTTACAGGTTTATAAGTGAAGTTTCTCTGCAACATCTATAATTGAGCTACAATAACTATAGTTGGTGGCTATAACAACTATAATTGGTCTACCAAAGGCATAATTAGAGGCTATAACAGCTGTAGTTAAGTAAAAAAATCGCTAGTGATAGTCAACAATGATTGATGGTTGACAACGATCTTTGGTGGTCGATGACAACCACCAGTGTTTTAAAAGTTAAGCTTTAGTGATCACTTCACTCTCTTACTTGTTATGTTGTGTAGATCGGTTGAGGGGTGTCAAGGTCTAATATGACTAGCACAACCACACCAGTATTGGACATAGCTTCGTCGAACGACATAGCCGCACTAAATAGAAGCATAGTTATGTCACGAAGTCTTTCATTCTAGGCTTTGAAATAGAGCAGGTGGAATAATTATGCTATGTAGAGACGTACCTACGCCGTGATTCTTCTGATTCCATGCTTCGGAACAAATCAACTCGAATAATTAGACCGAGGAATGGTGTGATTACACCAAGTGCAGTTTATCTCCCGATTCAATTTTCAAACCCTCGATTCAGAGTGACAGGTTGTGTATTCTCAATGGCAAAGCTCTACTATGCAAAGTGAACACTTGAAGAACCTTAGGTGTGGTGCAGTGAAGTTTGAAAGGCAGATTTTAGCTTGCAATTTCTCTTGTGTGTTCGAAGAGAACTGAGCGAAATTGTTGTGTATTCCAATGGAGTACAGAAGATCTTAGTGGTGTAAATTCCCGCACATTCCTACTTTTATAGTAAAATTTTTGGTGCGGTGCGACACCATGGTTTTTTCTAGTTTTAGGGTTTTTTCATATTAAATCTTGGTGTGCTTTTTTTGGATTAGTTTGTTGTGCATTTCTATTCGATATTCTTGTTTAGAATTTCTTAAATTGATATGTTCTTTTTATCGCGATGCGGTTTTGATTGTAAATTGATCAAAACATAGGTTTCCATACTAAAAATTGGTATTTGAGTGGGGTTTCTTTTCTGAAAACTTTTGATTAAAATGAGAGCAATGACAGAGAAACAATGTACAAGATAGAGAAGTTCAACAATTCAAACTTTGCTTCCTAAAAGATACAAATGGAAGATTTTTTATACGAAAAGAAATTGTATTTGTCACTATAACCACGAAGAAGCCTGAAATGATAACTTTAGAAGAATGGGAAGTGTTGGATCGAATGAACTTAAATTTGATCCATCTTTTACTTTCATCATCTGTTGCCTTCAACATAGTGAATGAGAAAACTACGATGGATCTCATGGTGACACTGATAATGATGTATGTGATACCTTCAGCTTCAAATAAATTTTTTTTTTATAAAAAGATTATTCAACATGAAGATGATGGAATGTAGTTTGACAGTCGAACACTTAAATAATTTAAATGCTGTGACTAGCCAATTGTGTTCCATTGGTATCAAATTCAATGAAGAGATTAGGATGTTGTTAATTCTATTGTCATTACCATATAGCTAGAATGGATTAATCATGGCGACGAGTAACTTTTCAGGTAATATAAAGTTAAATTTTTGATAATCAAACCAAAATACAAGAGTAAAAAGAATGGAAAATCCTATAGAAAACAATCCTTATTCCCAAGATTTGATCACCTCTAGAAATTCCTTTATTGCTCGATCATAATCACTCCCCTTCTCGCACACACAAAGAAGTAAAAAACTCACTTACAATCACTCTTGAGTCATTCCTACACTAATCCTGTTTATATTAAATATTATAAATATTTATATTAAAAGTATTTATAAAGCATGCATTTTTATATATTAAATTATGTTAAATAAAACATGCATGTTTATATACACATATTTCAATGCCTTTTTTTTTCATTGTCGACCGGTTCAGTTCAACTTTACAAAATTAAGACTCCTTCAATTCGATCGGGTCAAAGTCAGGCTCAATATAAAATTGAACCGAACTTCACCTACCTCATGTACTTGCACGATTCAAAATAAAACTAAATCATGCAGGAATGGAGCTGAATTGAACCGAACCGATTATTTCATTTCCATTTCGGTTCACTTTTAATTTCAGATTTGAAGAAAAAGTTCATTTGGATTTAAATTATTTTTATTTACAACTTAGAAGTATAATATGGCCAAATCATTAAACAAGGGGCATTTACATTCATGTCACTCAATTCTATGTATTTACATATCTAAACTATAGTTTACATTTTGAATTTATATGACATTAAAAAAGACCACAATGTTGACTTTTTAAAAAAGATAAATACACCTTTTCATTCAAAAGTAAGAAAGGCGGCATATACATACATACATACATACATACATACATACATACATACATATATATATATATATATATATATA